TTTTTATTGGTACAGCATCAACATCGTGGTTATTAGCTTACAATTTATTAGGTTACATACATGGATTTTTTACATGATTGTTAAGAGAAGCAAGAAAGAGAAAAGAACAAAAAAAATTAATTACAAAAAATAATAAAGTTAAATTAGGWTGTACATTTCAATTTTTTTTTWAAAAGTGATGATTTTTTGTGAGTCAGCATAGGGTGTACCTAACTATTGTTAGAAAGTAATTATATTAAATGTAACGTCGTAATTATTAAAAGTCCCTACGATGAACATCTTTTGAATTAATCGGTTCAATCATTTTAAAATGTTACTAAAATGAAAAWAAAACCTATATGTACAATAAGCAGCTAGGTACGACGAATTATTATATTKATATCATAGTTATAGCATTGATTAAATATACTTAATATATTTAGTATATTTAATCAATGGTTATAGTATTGCGAGAGGCGTGACTGAATGAGTGACGAAAAGAGGAAGTTACCCATTATTATATGTAGATATATTTACAAAGTTTGTAAAAATGAATCGTTTACATTTTATATTATAAATATTAAGGGTAGGTATTGACTATAATGTTTAATGCTTATAATTTTTTTATAGGAATTCAATTAAAKCAATTACTAAGATCTGTGTTATTTAAATTAGTATAATATGTTATAAAAACAATTTTTTGATTTTTGGTAGTTATCTTTCAGTTTATACGTTTGAAATATTTCGTGTCACCTTTATCGACATTGACACATCGTATAACACGTTAAAATTATATCACCTAAACGTGTAAAATTAAGTTTTCAAGAGCCAATTACAATGAGAATATTTTATTGTGCCATCTCCTATCATTATTTGTAGTATAATTTCGTCACTTATGATGAAAATTTTAGAGTGGGTTACAAAATAAGCGTCACGCGTCGTTAATTACTCTTAAGTTTTGATTTTGATTTTATAAGTAGTTTACCTATAAGATCAATAATTAATAATTACTGGTTGTCAGATATAATAATAGGTAGGTATTTTAAATAAAAGCGACACCTATAACATAATTTGGTGAATCATTCGTGGTGATTACTGATTAGATTCTTACGTAAAATTTAACTTTCGTTAAGTCTATTGTCATAATATAATAAATATATTCTTTAAATCTATCCCGTACTCGGGTATTTAACACATAGTTCGAGCCTTCGACTTCAAATCTGAAGTGTTGTAATAATTGTATTCAAAAAATATTATATAATTAACGATTACATTATACTATGTACTATGCACTCATAAATCTTTTTTTTAAAACACATTTTAAATTTTGAAGCACGTTCGCCGTTCAGTTTACTTTTGTCCGCGGTGTGGGGAACGTCTTCGATTTAATCCGTCCAATAAAGTAAACGTAAACCTGTTAAAAATTTAATGTTAATTTATTTAATAGATAATTAATATTGAAGTGATGTCAAATTAATTTTTCATTCATCGTTACTGTATTATATTTTACAGACTACATACAACTGTTCATTGACAGGATCRGAACACGATACGTGCATTATGGTTAAGTGCAGGTGCGTTCTAATTTTATATTTTAATTATTATAATGTATATGTATAACAATAATGTTATTAAAATGGTGCATTATTTTATTATRTAACGAATCAGCCAGATTGTAACACACGAGTGGAATGATAGCATATTAGCATAATTTAATATCATTATATAATGATAAAAAAAAGTTTACCAACCGAGGGAACTACTATTAGTTACTACGCGATTATTATAATTCAGATACTATTCTATTACATGCCAAATGCCGATCACGGAACATTATAATGTGCATAGTACACCTACATTATTATCGGTTTTTAAGTGTTGAATAAAAATAATAATATAATATTGTTATGATTCCTAATCACAAAATTGTCTGGCCCTGTGGTTTGTTCAGTTTCACTTACGCGACTGCAGTCCGCGTTCGTGCTCCGTTGCAGTTTATTTTTGTGCGTGAAATTCACAAATGGTCAGAGTTGGTTCCGATGGCGTTTCTGCGTCGGGAAGGAATGCGTCGGTAGATATGTCCGAAAGCACACCGATACTCGGAAGTGCAAAAGAGAGACATAAGTCAACAGTACTGACTAGGTTTGTACATTTTGAATCTCGAATAAAATCACGAGTAGGTATCTATAAGAACATACTTGTAAGAATTTCAAACTAAAATATTTTCCCGGACATTATTAGGTACCTATATTATAATCATGGTTCAATTGGACGTAATAATTTATTACAATAATTTAGAATTTTCAGTATTTCAGTCTTCCAATGACTCACAACTATTTTTTTACCAATTGATTTCAATAAATTACTAAAATTATTGTTTTGCATAGATCGATTATAGTATTATAATTGCATTACCCAACACTATTGCTGAAGTGTATATTATTATGATGTGTAAGTGTACGGTATACGCCACGTACGATTTACCGGCTATCTCATAAAAACGAAAAAAATATGTAAAATGATGTAACTATTTAATAACAATACCTACGTCGTTTGATATACATATAAGGATAAATATTATAAATTAAAATACCGAATAGTACAGAAAACATTTTAAAATAACGGTAATGAAATAACCTCTAACCCTTCCCCCCTAAAAAAACATAATAGGTATAATAGGTACTTGCATAGGCATTTAAAAATGTACTATTGGTATCTTCTACGAAAAGATCATTACCCATTTACACCCATTATTCATAAATCATTATTAATAATATAGATAGGTAGCTGAGTTGTACCTACCTACATAATTGTAGTTTACACTTTGGTGTGTCTGAGATTATGACATGCGCGTGTTATGTGTATAAAATAATTAAAATTTAAAATAATAATGTTAGGTACCACAATTACCAGAAAACACTCATTAATCTTGATATACAATGTAGTGCTGTATCACACAGAAKTACCTACTCTAAACATAATGAATAACCAACGGAGTAGTCAGATAATAAAATATTTTTTTTGGTATTTTTTGATGTTAGAAATTGTTTAGTTTTTTCCAATTTATTTACATGATAAAATATATCTATATATATAATAAAATATCCTTAGAAATATAAGGTATATAGGATGTCAGACAATCTTCGCTAAGAATCGTTTTTCACGTATACAATAATAATATAAAAGATTTATCATTGGATTAACATTTAAAACATTAATTCAGTGATCGACTTGATCGGAAATGCATTCGATGTCTATATTGTACAGCTGAGCTATTTCATTGTTTTTTTCTATTAATTTTTGAACAGTATAGAGCCAAACTTATATCATTGACATGATTAAATCGTGAGATTGAACATTTTAAGCGAATTTCTATGTGTTCTTCTCTTGCTGTGTTGTACGTTAGTAATATCCAGACGATTTCCTCTTATATTTTTTGGTTATACACAATTAATAGAATTAAAATTCCAGTAAAATAGTGTAACGTTTTACCTACGTAACCATMATTATCGTCGGTGTTAATGATAACGTCATATGATAATATTAAGTCCAATAAAAATGTATTAAATTTTTCAAAACAATAGTATAAACTGAACAGTCAATAAATTATAAGTATAGTATAATAAAAGAATGCTTATAGCGGGTTTTTGGTTTAAACACATCGCGTTAGGTTRTTTTTGAAACGTAGTTTCTTATGGCGCGATGTTAGCGGAGGGACCATGCCCAGAAAAACCACGTGTAACGAAAATAAAAGTATTWCTCTTTCCGCTTTCTCTATACTCCTGTCCCTCTCGCTCTACGGTACGTTGTTATTATACATTTACACGTCGTCCCCGATAAAACACCCATAAAAGAAAAAAGGTCAGGTTACAGGTTACCTAATTGTTATTGTTATAATAAATTATTATAGTATTACAATAGAAACCGATCATAACATTAAATATTATAAAATCACTTTAGTGACTGTGTTGACGAATTCGGTTTTTCTGTTATATTATTTCGAGTTGTTTTGTTTGATCTCATCGGGCTCCGATGTCATTGACCTTTTCTCCGCGGTGCGTGTTGTGTTGACAATGTTGCTCAGTTTTCGCGATCGTTTAATGACAACGTATCATTTGCTTTCGATGAGTGAATATGAACAATAATAATAATAATTCAATGCATTTTTCAATGTTCGTAATTTCAATGAATTAAATAAAAAAAAACTGATAACATAATATTATTTACTTTCATTTCGAATAGTTCCATACCTGAAATTAATCTGTAACCTATAAAACTGCCAAAGAAACTACGTTTCGATCGGGTGTCCCATAACAGCAATCAATTTTTTTGGCCATGTGTTTATTATTTTTTTACGTGGTAACGAAGATTTGTTTTTATACCTAAATAAACGTTTAAATTAAATTCTTAATAGTTTTTAAAAGTGTATTGTGCACATTCAATTTTTTTTTTAATCAAATGAACTTCCTGTATCGAATTAATATAATTAATTTATCAAAATTACTCGAATAGGTAGGTAAGTTATATATATAACTATAATGTATCAAAATGCATAATTGTTTTTAAAAATGACAACTAATGAAGAAGAAACTTTTTCTGGTATGTTATTTATAAAACCCCTTTTCAATATAATATATATCATACAATAGGTATTATCAAACTGTGCAAGTAAAAATCAATCTTAACTACCAATAGCACCGTTATGGCATAAGAATGTTATTAATGAGCTATATAATGTATAATATGATATAGCCGATATAGGTATATGGTATAATGATGTCTTATATGAAGAGACATTTTTTCATTCAAGTACCTATGCAGGCTTTATTTTTTATAATATCATAATTTATAATGTTATACAGGGCGCGAGTACAACACTCATTCGTTGATTTTAATTTATCCAATAAACATAGAGCTCGATAATTCTTTGACGGATGACTGGACGCAAGTAAAAATCAAAGTTTTGCGAAATATTTTAATGTCTACTATGTCTAGGTGTGTTTTATATAAGTTCTGATTCTTTGCGGTTACAGCATATGCTATATACAGACATACAGTGTACAATAATAAAGAAAGTTTATCATTGTGATGGGTATARTTATACCATAATCTATATTATATATACGTTATATAATATTACTTACATGATTTCTATTGTAACCTTTGAATATGTTTTTTAAATATTTTCAGTTTATATTCTATTAAATAAATCATAATCTTTGTATATTAAAGTCTAGACGTTTAAATTTAAAAATAGATGAATAATATATTGTATAATTATGTATGTATAAATCTCATAGAGTAATACATAATATAATATATTACTCTATGATAAATCTGATATATTTCTGATGTTAAGAAAATAGTCTATTACACTTGAACTAAAACACAACCTCCTTGAATATTTGATAATATATTTTAAACAGTTTCAGATATTTTTTTATTTTTGTAAATCTCGTATTTCTTACTATCTAGTTATTGGCCTACTATCTCAGAATTTTTTACAGTACTGATTATTTTTATGCGAATTGAGTATACCATAGGATGTTTATCACTTATTTATTTTGCATTTTGCATCACGCACTTGTTTCGTCGGTGACTTTCATCATTATAAGGCTATAGACAAGTGGTATTTGAATTATATTTTATAAATGATRATAGTAATATTTTCCTTAACCATTTAAKGAATAAAAAGAAAYTTAATATTGACAATTATTATTACTATACAGATATTCAGRGTTTAATTTGAAACCGGTTACCGATTTTTCAGTTAGGTAACACAAAACGTAATAATAACATAAAATKGTGTGAATAGTTAATAATCGATTACTGATATTTAATTAATACCAAGTACCTACCGACTACTGTTACTTATAMATTTCAATATTTTTAGTTTATTTTACCTACATAAATAATGATAAAATTGTAGTTACTCTAATAGTTTAATGATAAATAACTTATTAAAAATATTCTTAAATCATACTACATAGGTGTTATATAAGGACCGATTAAAAAAAAAAAYCGATTTTTTAAAACGGTTATCGCTTAATCGATAACCCACAATCTTGAATATTGTACCGGTAATATTATGTTACCGCTAGAGACAAGACTGGTATTAATTTTTTTTTTTGAATGATCAAATAAATAAATAATATAAACAAGCAAATCGAATAAAATTCAATGGAAACAATGATTCATTCCATTTTTTTTTTTTACAAAGGGAAATTTTCTTAGTGTATCACTCATGAGCACATTTTAAGAAATGCTGCTATAGAATATGGGTTCATCACACCCGTGAGTTGGCTTAGTATTATAGTGGTAATTTCCCCTAATAATATGAAAGTGATCAGAAGTGTACAGAGTGCAGCGCCCTTATTAAATAGCTTATACGTATAGTAATGGGAGGGGAGGTAGGCCGCGGTCCCTGTCTTTTTCTTTAATTAATGTGTAGATATCTGATACCTATACTAGGTATACAAGATTATTTTTATATTTGCATACCTATTGAATTAAATAAATAAGTATTTTGTACAATTTACAATTTAATATTTAATTATGCTCTATACATAGTATTTCGTAGTCCTTAACACAAAATCCCCCCCCTCCCTGTTGGACAAAGTTTGCCCACGACTATACGTAAATTATATATTACAACACGAACACGGTCAACAATGGCTTACGCGTAGGAACGATATTATTTTTTCAGATTTCAATCAAAAAGTTGCATTGTTCTAGTAGGATTGGTGATATTGGTTGCTGTCGTCTCGTTGGTAATCGTATACTCGCCAAATGCACCCAATGACGAAATTCCAGACCCGGAATTCGCTTTGCCGCCGTCGAGCATGCCAATGGGATTGTACAGCAACGTCGGCGTCGTGTCCAACGGTGGACCATGCGCACAGATCGGAGTGTAATTATTACAGATATTTAATACGTGCAAAATAATGTTAAGAGTGTGTTAGTAAACTGTTTGTTTTCTCTCTTTGGCCCATGTGAAACATTGACAAAACTCATTTACACAGATTTTTTTTTTACATTTTTCAATCACCCAAGAGTAAAATCACCCGTTACAAAATTGATATAGAATCGTATTTTTGAGGGAATGCCATATCTATCGATTTGT